AGTGTCCCCACGCACCCAGGGGCAGGTTCCCACGTGCCCAAAGGTCCCCATGTGCCCAGGGGCAGGTCCCCCCATGCCCAAGTGTCCCCACGCACCCAGGGGCAGGTCCCCACATTCCCGAGTGTCCCCATGTGCCCAGGGACAGGTCCCCACATTTCCGAGGGTCCCCCCATGCCCAAGGTGCCCAGGGACAGGTCCCCACATGTCCGAGGGTCCCCACGCACCCAGGGCCAGGTCCCCACGTTCCCAAGCATCCCCACGTGCCCAGGGCCAGGTCCCCACGTTCCCAAGTGTCCCCACGCACCCAGGGGCAGGTCCCCCCATGCCCAAGTGTCCCCACGCACCCAGGGCAGGTCCCCATGTGCCCGAGTGTCCCCTCATGCCCAGGGCCAGGTCCCCCCGTGCCCGGGGGTCCCCAGGCGGCCCCCCCAGCCCCACCTTTGAGCAGCCCCACGGCCGCCTCCGGGGACAGCGCGAAGGAGTCGAGGGAGCGCGCGATGTCAGCGAACGGGCAGAGCGCTGGGACATGGGGTGGACCGGGAGCGTGCTGGGATGCAGGGACATGGGGTGGACCGGGACACGGGGCAGACCAGGAGCATGCCGGGATGCGAGGCGGATCGGGAGCACGCCGGTCCATGCGGATGGACCGGGAGCGCGACAGGACGTGGGGACACAGAACGGACTGGGACAGACCAGGAGCATGCTGGGACGCGGGGCGGATCGGGAAGGCGCTGGGATGTGTGGACGTGGGGCAGATCGGGAGCACGCCGGGATGCAGGGTGGACCAGGACGCGTGGACGTGGGGTGGATGGGGCCGTGGGGCAGACCGGGAGCATGCCGGGCCGCGGGGATGTGCGGACGGAGCGGGAGCGCGCCGGGATGCCGGGTAGATCCGGAGCACGTCAGGCCGCAGGGATGCAGGACGGAGCGGGACATGCGGATGGAGCGGGAGCGCGCCAGGACGCAGGGATGCAGGGTGGAGCAGGACACGCGGACACAGCGGGAGCGTGCCGGGATGCTGGGCGGATCCGGAGTGCGCCGGGCCGCAGGGACGCAGGGCGGAGCGGGACACACGGACAGAGGGGGACACGCGGACGGAGGGGGACACGCGGACGGGCGGGAGCGCGCCGGTATGCAGGGACATGCGGAGGAACTGGGAGCGCGCTGGGACGCAGGGATGCAGGGCGGAGCGGGACAGGCGGATGGAGGGGGACACACGGACAGAGCGGGAGCGCGCCGGGATGCAGGGACATGCCGATGGACCAGGAGCGCGCCGGGCCGCAGGGACGCAGGGCGAAGTGGGACACGCGGACGCAGCGGGAGCGCGCCAGGATGCCGGGTAGATCCGGAGCGCGCCGGGCCGCAGGGATGCAGGGCGGAGCAGG